TTTATGTAAATATATTTTTATTATGTACTTACATATATGTGGGTATACGGCTCCAGAAACAGAGTGGTCTAACTGATTCAAAAAATTTTCAAAATTTTTAAATTATTTTAATCGGCCATGTAGGGTTTCTATAGTTCGTGGTATTTATTTTAGAAGTTTTTTTCTACTTCATGCTTTTATTGAATTCGTCAGTATCTTTGGATTAGATTAGATTAAATTGAACATGGGGTAACAATGAACTACGACCCAAGAAGTTGATCTATTCCCCCCTTCCCTTTTCACTTATCACGCATAAAGCGCTACTTGAGTCCTATAATGCTGACAAATTCGAGTATCTGATGAATATCGATTTTATCGCAGATCTGTTCGCCCAAACTCCTTTTATAACCCATGAGTCTAAGATACTGCTCTCAATGTCTTTAGATGTATTTATATGTCATAATCTTTAAAACCCTATCATATAAATATATAAACTGTTCTATAGAAGTGCTACAGGCTTGAAACAAAAATTAATTGTAAGGGTTATGGGAAAAACATCTGAAGTAAGACTATATATTTTGAACCTGCCGGATCCAAATCTTTCTTGTTTAGCTTTTTGCTTTCCAAAAACTTCCATAAATAGTCATTTGTGATATATTGCTGAAAAATTCGGCTACAACGACCAATTTTTGTTCCAGCTCTTTTTCAAAAAGTTGAATCTAATTGAAGGGTTCTTGCTTAAGGAAACGACTTCTAAGAACATCTGAAAATTATACGAGTTTTAAGCACATCAGCGTTTTCATTAAATAATTCTTGTATAAGTTCTTTTACATTTATCTCTTATTATTTTAGGGGTTAATTTGCAAATTTTTCCAACTTATCTAACCCATAAACATTTATGAAGGCCCGGAAGAAGCCATAATACACAATGAGTCGTTAATTAACTTTTGTATACCCTGAATTTATAAAGAGTTAATGAAGGAGGTAAGAAATTCATATTTTTTAAAATGATTTTTTTCGTTGTAGTGTGTAAATGTAGGTTGGGCCACTCTAGTTCTGAGCGACTCATATGAAAATAATACAAATTTATACATGCATTTATAATAAAATACATAAGCGTACATACAGATATACACGTGTACATATGTATTATATTTTATTAGCATGGTAAATTTTTAATATTATACCAAAAAAAAAATAAAAATTGTTATTTTGGAACAAAAAAAAAAAAATTAGAAAAAAAGAAAAAATTATGAAAAAATGTGGAAAAACTTTTCTTCTATCCCTTTGGAATAAAAAAATATTTTTGTTTTTTGTTGTTTTTTCGTTTTGAAGGCTTTATCCATTTATATAATAAAAATTTATTCATTTTATTTTTTTCATTTTTTTTTTGTATGTACCCAAATTTTATTTTTCTTTTCTATACCAATGTCAGTTAAGTTTTTTTTTGTGTTTTTTTCTCACATTTTATTTTTTCTCAATTCCTTTGTTGAAACAGCAGTATTGCACTGTACTAACTATTTTTCATATATTATGTATAAAATGTACAAACACATATGTTTGTACATAACTACAGTATATTTGAAAATGAAAGAGAATAATAAAAAAAAGAAAGTTGTTCAGTCTAATAATAAGATATAGAATGGTTCAAAGTATAAAGAAAATATTCGGGTCGCCGAAGTTGGGTCGAATATAAGTTATGGTTTGTAAAATAAATATTAATGCACATACATACACGCACATATTTATACATTTCACTTCAACATAAATGCAATAATAAATTTTGCATAAATTCAGGAGAAAACTTAAAGTGATAATTCAATAAAAACCTTCGTGTTGAACAAAAGTGGAACCGAAAATTTTCTTATTCTTGGTGAGGGGGGGGAGGGAGGGCAAAAAGAGGTGTGAAGTTGTGGCCCGCTAAAGGTCAAGTGCTTTTGACGGAGCTTTCTCTAAGCGGACGTAATACTGACATTCGTCAGGGTTGTGAAAGTAAGTTGAAGTCCTATAAGTCGAGTTGTGAAAGACCACAAGTATCCCCGGTCCCTCCTTTCAAAAAAAAAGGAGGTGGCTCTAATAAATTTTGTTCTAGTAAAGTAAAATATTTTTGAATATTGCTATAAACTGTTAAAATTTAGAGTTGCCGTGAAAAAAACAAATTCAAAATGTGCGAAAAAAAGGACTTTTACAAAATTATCAAAACAGTTCTTGATTTTAACACTGCAGGTTTTCAAAAATAATTCCCATTACTTTGAGTAGCTATAGCACCTATAATGTAAGAGAGAGAGAGAGAGATAGTCAAAATATTGTTTGGAAAAAATAAAATTTTCTGTTAAGATTTACTTACCAATTTAATTTCATTCTTCGATCGGTGTAGAAGATGTATAAGCAGACAAAAAGACAGGCACAGACTCAGTCAGATATGCGTTTTCCCAAACTTTTTTAAAATTCACCAATAAGTAAGATCGGCCAATTTTAATTTGATTCAATAATGTTTTATGTTTCTATACCTTTAAAATGTCCGGCAATTGGAATTTGAATTTCTTATACATATTTCGTAGTGTTTATAAAATAGCTAGTATGAGAGTAGTTTCTGTGAGGACAATATTTTAGTGTATACATTTGTAGAAGCTATTGATAACACTTTAAATTGATAATGAGTTTTATAACACCTTGAGAATTTCATTGCCATACATAATGTTCATTCAAAATGTTGAAGATGCGGTAATTTGGTTATTTATAAATTTAAGCAGAAGAAAAAATATTACAACATTTTAACAATATATTCTATGGTTATACGTTCAAAACATTATTTTTTTTTATATTGGCTTATAAATTAATAAAAATTATGAAAAAAAAAAACAAATGGTATACGCCATTATAAAAATTTAGGATATATTGTGTGATTGTGTGTATGCGTGTAAAAATGATTGGTATATTGAATTTGAATAGAAATTCAAAACATCTGCAAATAAAGAATGTGTGAAAAAAATTTCACCACCTCATTTGATGTTTTAATATTGATGTCACTTTAGAAAATAATGGGGAAAACAAAGAATGAATAAAGTAAATTGTTCAGAGTGTTATTTTATGATATGAAGGTCTGATCTGAATGTGCGTTGCGTAAAACTTAAGTATACAATGAAAATACTTTTGAGTAGTGCCGGTTTTGTAGAGTTAAATTTAAGTTTGGGAATTGAAAATTGTTTATTACTTATAACCAAATTTCAAAGGAAACTGTGTAATTTGGTCTTAATCTCATTTTATTTTAAAACATTTGGCAGAAGAAGTTATAAGATCGAAGAATGAAAAGATCGCGCTTTTTGTACTTTGGGCATAAATTCTTTCATTTGATTCTTGATAACCTGTTTCAAAAGCAAAGTTCTTAAAGACTTTTTATGACAATAATCTCATAAAGAATATATATTTGGACTTATAAAAGAATAAACAGGTTTATTATGTGTGGTACATTCGGCTCCTTTTTTTCGAGTACGATTAAAAATCTGGCGAATGAAATATGATGTAACAACTACGAGAATTTGTCAAAATTAATATGCATTTTATTGCTACATATATAGATTACCTCAAATTACCGTCAGAAATGCAGCTATTGCATAAAAAATATTGAGAAATAAATCCATTCACAATACATTATACAAAATACTAACAATGAATTGGCCACACATAATAGTCCTATAAGTGTTAAATGAGCTACCTGTTTTAGTTCCTGAAATTTCTGATCATTATTTACTTAAATACCATCAAAAAATAATCATCACGAATAAGCACAAATTTAAGTAACGCAATTAAAAATTCAAACTTTATACTAAAATCAGCCGTCGGTTTGTACAACTATGCATTTTGTGCTACCAACGATGACAGATCTTAAGAGATTTGTTTATATAGGCAAAATTAGAGACCTTCCCAACTAAACGCAACAATTTATATAATTAAATATAAGAAGTGCAAACAAATTCATTAATTAAATTTTACTTTTTCAGGTATTTAATTTAACAAATTCGAAGTGAGGATTTGAAAGCCAATAAGAATTTATTTGATAAATATGTATACTCTAAATTATTTGAGTATGTATATTCTAATATTAGGTAATGAATAAAATTTGACAACATTTATTATAATTATACAGTGATATGTTACTTTAAAGCAGCTGTGGAACAGCTCCATGGTTATTATTTTTTTCTTAAACTATTAAAAATAATACGCCATGTATTCCTGTGCCAAATATTTATATGAGCTCCAAATTACCAATTATTTATTGAAACAACAAAATCACCATAACTAATAATTTTTTGTTTAAGAAAATAAAAGAAATTGTGGTCTTAACCATTGATTTCGATTAAATAGACTTGATAACAAGCTTGATAATATCTAAGATAGTATGATCATACGATTCTTTAACACTACTTGAAATTCTTCGAATGAAAGATGCTGTTAAATTAGGATATTTCTTATCTATAAAGCTTAAATATACGGAAATAATGCCTTACAACGTGATCATGCGAATAATTTATTTTCTAGCAGTTAAAATAATAATTATAACTAACTATAATAATTAAGAATTTAGTGTTCTTAAATGTTCAAATCTTAGATGGTAGCAAAACAAATTGAAAGTCCGACAAAATTATGGTAAAATCTGGTAAAATCTAAAAAGAGCAGTTATATTTTAAAACAGTACATGAATTTAATTTTCGATTAAAATTTAGCCACTGTCAATCGATTTTGTCGTAATTTTAATTGCTACAATCGAACTAGAAATTTGAATATCTCAAATGTTAAACAAACTGAATCCAAATATTTCGATAGAATAATCCTTTTTCCTTTATTATTTTAGTTTATTAATAATTATTTTTCATATATAATTAAATTTTTTATAATGTTTAAAGATTATTTTCTTTTTCATTTTTAATTTAAATTATCATTTAACCAATTTTAAGGTTATAGAAAACTTGTTTTTTTTTTTATTTACAATTTTTTTTTTCATTTATTCTTTCTTTATTTTTCCACTAAGATTAAATTTTTTTTTTAATGTGCATATTTAAAAATATACACGTTTAATAATTTTGTATTTATAATATTTCTAAAGTTAAATTCTAATTTAATTCATAATATTTAATAATAATGATAATAATAATAATTTTAATAATAATAATAATAAGAATAACATTGAAGAGTAATTAATTCTACTAACTTAATTGATAATATTCGGGAACGAAATCATTTGCTAAACTACTTAAAAAATTAAAATCAGTTGCCGGTTCAACAGTTTCTGATGGATTTGGATTTGATGTCGTTGAATGCTGTTGATGATGATGATGATTGGGCCCATTTATAATATTTGAATTAGCAAGATAATGTGAACGATGTGCTGCGGCTGCTGCTGCAGCAGCTGCAGCTGAATTATATTGATTATTTTGAATATGATGATGCATATTATTTTCTGGTTGTGGTAAATGTTGTTCATCATAATAATTGATATATTCATTTGCATTACCTAAAAATAAAGGATATTATTAAACAACAATTTTTATTGCAGATTTTAAAATTTAGATTTTAATTGTATTCTACAACACTCAACAAATAAGCACATATTCCACTTAAAAAATAATTTATTGTATACCAGTTGTTAGTGTATACTTATTAGGCCGGCACTTTGTGAAAAAGCTCAAGCTTTCATTTTGTGTTAAAAAATTGAGGTATTCTACTAAAATTACAATTTAAGGAACAAAACCTGAAATATTAGAGCATTTGAAAGTAAGACTCAAATTCAAATATTAATCATCAGGTTCTTCCCTTAGCTCACAGTACTTGTGAACTTCAAATAGATTTTGCTAAGGATTTGAGGTCATCCTTTAAAATTAAAATATTTAAAAACATTTAATTTTGAACTAGTCTATATTATTTCTATTTCTCTATCTTATTATTGTCATTAGATTGACAATAATAAGATTTTCAGCTATATATGTACAATTCTTAATGTATTTAAGTATGTTTTTGCCTTTATCGCCATAGAGCTATTTTTTTATTCTAAAATTCAAGTAATCTTATTTTGAATTTAACGATTGTCATTCAATTAAGTAGCATCATAGTTAATTTATATAACGTCTGAGGTCATTATTGTCAAAATATATTTATATTTTTAGCAAAAGCACAAACCATGACATTTCACAATAAATAGTTCCATATTCTACTACAAAAATTACCGATTTTTCGGTTTTAGTACATTTAGTACATTTGTTTTTGGCTCTTAGCATTTTTAGTGTTTAAATAAATGGTTTGTGTCATTAATATTTTTTTAATACGTATGAACAGTAAGTAAAATAATTCCAAAAAGAATATTGGTGAAAAATATTCTTTTTGCCGTCAAAGTAGAAATAAATTAACGTGGTTTTGAAGAATCAAAATGAACTTTCATGGTGATTTAAGAGAAATTGATTTTTTTTCTTACCTATATATTCATTATTCATATTCTCATAATAATTATTTTGATAACAATTTCCACTTGCATCAGCAGCTATACCATCATAATAATTATTTTGATAACAATTTCCACCAACACCACTTTTATTAACTCCAGTTGCTGCATGTATTTGATTTTCATGATTATGATATAATTGGTTGTTGTATTGAATATTATTATTACAATTTGGTTCATGTGAATTTGGATAATAATTATTATTTGAATTTGGGCCATGATAATTTATTTGATATGATCTGGAATTAATATCACCAACTGTTGTATTACCAGTTGTTGATTTTGAATTATTAAATGTATATGACATTCCTAATTCTGATTTTGGAACTGGAACTGGAAATTCACATTGACCTTGATTATTATTTATTAATTTATAATAATGTGTTGGAGAAAATTCTGGTTCACGTTTATAATATTCATGTTGATGACTATTAAAATTATGTTTTGAATTTGGATAATAACCACCAGATGATGTTGTAAAATTTCCTTCAGTTGTATTTTGATGTTGTATTAAATCATTATTATTGTTGTTGTTATTTTTTATAAAATTATTTGTTGAATTTGAATTATTGGTCCTTTTGATATGGCATGTTGGTGAATTTGCTGAATTTTTATTTATTGTTGATGTTCCGACGGTTATCGGTAAAGAATTTTGTAAATGTGGTGTAGGAATTTTATTTGGTGGCGTTTGTGGTGGCATATCAACAAAATCTTTACGAAATACTTCATATTTTGTAAATGATGTTTTTGATGATGTTGAAACTACTTCGTTTTTCATTATCTAAAATAATTAAAAATTAGAAATATTTTTATCAGTTTAATGTTATTTAATATAGAAAAAATTATCGAAGGTGCATTGTAGTTATGAAAAAAACTTAAATGAAGTTGAAATTTTGAAAATATTGTGTATGAGAACTAAAATCGTAAAATTCTCCATTAACTGCACAATATTTCTGAAATATTGAGAAATCTTAGTGATAGCAAGTAATATTAGCCACTTGTTTAGTTTTTATTTAAATATGATTTGCATTTTAATCAATTTTGTTTTATCATCAATAAAATATGAAAATGCATTAGAATTTCGATGCACACGTGCATTTTTTTTAAACATTAATTGAATATTATTCAGAATTTCATTTATGGTAAATCACAATTACATATTGCAATCGCTTTTCAGTTGAAATAATTATTCTTATATTATAGAGGAATTCAGAGTAAATATGACTTTGAAATTTTTAGAAATAAAATAAAAAAAAATCTATAAAGAATTTAATGAATAAATTATTAACTTAATAGTGACACTAAGTTGTCATGTGGTAAAATTCAGGTGCAAAAAGTGATTACTTCTGAAAAGCTTTTAATACAAAAGCATCTAATTATCAAACAATCAAAGATTTTAGAACGTAAAAACCTACATGCCTTTTTAAATTGAAGTATAAATAAGAATTAATATTATTTTTTCTTAATAAGATTTAAAGAACTTCCTACAATGCTAAGTAAAATTTAATAATGTAATCGATATAAGAATTCAAATTCAATGTCACAAATTTAATGTTGAGTGCTTTTTATTACATAATATTGAATAAAAAATATAAGGTGCAATATTTGTAAAAAAATTTGACGAGTACAACCCTATATATGCACATAACCGCAAAATTTGTAAATAGAATAATTTAATTTTGCCAATGTTAAAGAAATTACAAGATTTCATTTTTACAGCTTCTTATAAGCTCATAGAACCCTTTAGCATTAAAAATTCAATTTTTTGATTTTTGGATAATAGAACCTTATAATTCTAAGCGAACGAAGTGTAAACTGCAACTTTACCTAAGCTCTAACCCTGACAAATAATTTTTATGTAATATAAGATGTGAAATATATTCGCTTGGATATTGCCAATCATATGTGTATTTGTATTAAAAGAAATTGCAATAGAAAATGCAGTATATGCATGGCAAGATGCAGTGTAAGTGAAAGCTTTTGAAGTTCAATATCGTTTAATTCTAATAAAACAACCTGCAAAATATGAAATTATGAATTCTTAAAGCTGTTAATTAATAAACAATATTTTATTGACTGATCAAAATTTATAAGCTTAAGAAAATTAATTTTAAATAATATTTTTAATTCCATCATACTGCTATTTAACATCTCAATGTTATTAAAATTGGTATGATGAAGCATAATTTTCGAAAAGCACATATGTATGTACATAAATATGACTGGCTATTAAAAAATATTTTTAATAAATTTTTTCAATATAATTTTTTTATGCTTGATCTACAACACAATGTCACGGATTTATCAATTTTCTAATAATAAAATAAAGATGTTTAAAATTGTGTCGAGTCATTTTAACTAAGCAGAGTATACACAAACACATGGGTGTCATATGCATTTTAAATTGAATATTAAAATGACACAATATAAAAATATTTAAATAATTCTGAGATCCCGGATCATCATTTAAATGCAAATTTTCAATGATTTTGTTTTTTAACATTATTGTTAATTGAAACAAATTAAATAAAAAATTCTGCTACAAGAAATTGCAAAAATCCAGTAGAACTATAAATATTTTAAAGAACCAGAAATATAAAATGACATTTTCTTATCGTTCATATTTGTAAGTCACGTAAAATCTTAGCCACCTACATAAATTGGATGTTTAAATTTTGTAACTAAAACATAACCTAATCTTTGGTTTTGTTACAAACGAAACCAAAATTCTTGGTCCGAAAAACTATTCGTTGACATTTTAATTGAAATCTGCCTCATATTCTCAAATTCATTACAATTATTCCTAACGTATTCTGTTGGTTACGCTTTATTAATCAGTTCTAAAAACAAAAATTTATTAATTTTATCTTCTTATTATTTTTTCAATAAGCAATTTATAAATTTAAAATTTTCCACTTTATATTTTTTTTGACACATTTTCAAAACAAAAAAAGAAAACTTACATTATTTTCATCCAAATCTTTTTCTTTTTCAGAAAACTTTTCATCTTCATCATCTAAACTGACACTAGATACCACACTTGAATCGGCAGTTATAATATTTGTTCCTGTACGACTAGTAGTACTTCCCAATTCTAAAGATGATGTAGGTGTTGCTGTATAGAAAAACAAAACAAAAAACAAAAAAAATGAGCAAAAGAAATTAATTTTTCTTCTTTTTTTCTTTTTAGTCATTTCGCTTAAAAATGATTGCCTTAATTTAATATTGAAATTTTTTTTTTGTACAGGGTGTCTTGTATAAATGACCAGATTAGCTTGAATATAAAATTACAAATTTATTGTTCTACCAATTTTAGTGAAATCAATTTCAGAATGGAAGTATTTAAATTCAGTATGGAGTAAATTTCGGCGACTTATTTATTTATAAACAAGTGTAGAACAAGTTAATGCAATTTCAATTATGTTGCACCGAATTAATTTTCTTATTAATTATTGTTGTTTATTTAGAATTGTAACTTGCCGTTTTGAATGAATTTTGAATGCACATATTAAGAAAATTATAGATAGATTCATAGATTGGTGGGGGTCAACCTTAGACTAGGTCACTGCAGTCCTAAAAACTTATTGTGACACCTCTTAAAAAGCGCCAGCCAGGCCTATAATCCTCATGTATTTAAAGATTCGTCCAAGTGTCACCTCCCACAAGTTCGAAGGCGTCACCACATATCCCCCAAGTGAACCAATCGGCTTTTGGCCAGTGCCTCAAAGAAACAGAGAATATGCTTAGCCGCCTGATCTTTATTATGGTAAAATCTATACAAACGGTCCCCAGGTTGTCCCAATTTGTGCAAGTGATAACCCAGTCTGCACTGTCCAGTGTATAATAGAAAATTTATAGAATATTTCTAAGGTATTCCGTCGTGACAAAATTATTTTTTTTTTCGGGTAAATTTGAAATTTTTCATGTTTTCTTGCAAATTACAATAAAATTGCATAAAAACTTTTGCTAATCGTTTCATTTATATAAAACATGCCACCCTGTAAAAAATTTTATACTAAAATAACGGTATTATTGAAAAATAATTATAAAATTATGGAGCTATATATATTTATATATAGATTTTTATTTGTATATTATATATGTGTGAATGTATGTATATGTATTTGTAACAAATATAATATAAAAAATTTACAATTTCTTGTACGCGGATTATTGTTAGCAGCACTTGGTGTATTGTTATTATGCCCACGAGAATTCGATGTTGAATCTGGTATATCATCCGATGGTAGTTCACATCCTTGGCAAGATTTTTTTGAATTTGAATCTATAAAAAATATAGAAAAAAAAAATAAAATTAGATAGAATAGAGAAAAAAAAAATTATGTATTAAAATCTGAATATCACAAAAAAAAAAGCAAGAACATTTTTTTTTTTGCTTTTGATCATTCTAGGTACAACAGAATAAAATAAGAACAAAAAATCAACTCATAGGCAACACAGATTGCATAAAAGAATATCTAATATGGGTGAGGAATAGGGGGAAATGATACTTTCACTCAAATCTGACAGTGATTGATATATTTTCTGTCTTCTACATTCTTGGCATAATATTATACATATATACTAAAAAAAAATTTATGACGTATGTGTGTGTGTGTTGGAGTATGTCTTATACACATATTAAAACAATAATAAAGTATTTTAATAGCAACGGTATTGAAAAAATTTTCATGGTAAAATGGGTAAAACATGCACCAAAACTGAATTTTTTTCTTAACAAAATGAAAAGCAAAACAGCAAGGAAAAATTTTCATATTATTGGGAAAAATATTTTAATTTTTTTGGGAAAATTTTAGAATTTTCTTTTATTTTATTATTTTTGTTATTTTTTTGATATTTTAGACTTACTGCTATCAGACGGATTGTTATCATCACCTTTTAAACTATCCTTGTTATCTTCATCATCAGTTTTCGATAATGTTTGTCGTTTGTGTTTCATTCGTCTATTTTGAAACCAAACTTTTACCTAAAAAGAAAATTAAAAAAAAAAAAATAATAATAAAATATACACAAAGAAAATGAGAGAATAAAGAAAGGAAGAGAAAAGAAAAAATTTATTTTTATAAAGAAAATTTAAAAACAAATTAATTTTTTTTTTCTGTATTTTTATTTATTTCACTTAAATTGGGAAATGACCTACTAAATTTAGAACAAAATTAATTACTAAATCATTGAATTTCGTTTACATACATATATAGATTAAAAAACCGTAATAGTATATAGATATATGGAAGGGATATTAAAAGAATAAATGGAAAAATTCGGAAATAATATTGGAAATTCTCATTTTTAATTATTTTAGGACATTATTTTAGAAGGGTGAGTGGTTGATGAGTGGAGCCTGTGAATGTGTTTTGTCCTAAGGATATATTCTACCGTATAAATGAAATGTTATAATTCAATTCAAATATATAATAGTTATTAGAGTGGATACAGTGATATTTGTCCACAATGAACAAGTAAAACGCAATTTAGTTCCAAAATTAGTAGCTACTTGCATACTCTATTGAGAAATACAAATACTGGAGACACACATTAATAGTCTAATCGTTTACGAACACATTAATATTCGAAAACTCGGAACTTCCAATGGAGAATTCAAAAAAATGTGCCAGAATTCCGGGTAGTTAATTATATAGTTTTTTGGGGCAAGACATTAAGAAATTTTCAATAATGTGTTAAGTTTTTCACATTTTAGGAAATCCTTAAAAAGGTCCGTAATCTATACGAAAGTCTATTTCTTTTCTAATTAATATGTCAAAAAATTTTTCATTCATATTCAACTACATACTAAATTCGACGGTATTATGTTAAATATTCAAAAATATTTGAGCTTGTATTACAAATCAAATAATTAAAAAATAAATAAATAAAAGAACGAAATGGTAAAGCAACTACAGAAGCAGGTTTTTCGTAAGATCAAATAATTTCACTTAAACCGAGTTAAATTACAGTATTATAAATTTAAGTAAATTATAAATTAATTTAAGTTTGAATTTTTTTAGATTAAACAATATACAATATAGCTATATACTTACTTGTCTTTCGGTAAGATCCAGACTGGCAGCTATTTCAATTCTTCTTGGTCTACATAAATATTTATTAAAATGGAATTCTTTTTCTAATTCAAGCAATTGTGTATTTGTATAAGCGGTTCGCAGTCTTCTAGGTAAACCATTTTCTTGAACAAATTCAGCTGAAATATACAAAAAAAAAAAAAAAACAAAAATTATTAAAATTAATAAAAAAATTTTTTTTTTATTCTAAGGAGGCAGGTAAAGACATCAGAATGAATGGAGAACAGAAGAAATGTTTTTATAATCAAGTTTCTGGTAAAATTCTTAAAGTGGTGCTTAGATTTTTGAAATTTATATTCATAAAGGTTGCATAACCGGCGGCGCTTTTTTTTGTCTATAATATATTGAATGATTAATATAACAGATGATTATAAGTTTAATTGCCAAAAAGCCATTAGTTGAAGAATTAAATATTTACAGAATGTGAATGACATGTAGGGTGTAAAACATGGGTATGAAAACATACTTATCTCTAATAATATTATGATCTTAAATTTTCCTACGATGGTAAACACCGTCGGCACGAAAATTTACTTTAAGAAATTAATTTCTTATAGCAGAAAAAATTATCAGGATTAAAATTGTCAGGATATTATCCAAAAACCTCATTTTTATCTTATGAAATCAATGGACCGCATTACATGTTATACCGCTAAGGAATGAATTTGAATAATAATTTCACTTGTTGAATACGATTTTAGTTTTACATAATTCCAATTTCCTCCGTTAAACGACTTATATGTCTCTATACATACACTTACATACATAATTTATAAAAATTTTCCAATTGTAATAACAAAAAAAAAATCACAAAAAAATATAGTATAGCTATTCTGATTATTAAGAAATTCCTAAACAATATTAAAGCTTCTTCATTTCAAAAAAAAGACTTCACCTTTAAATGTTACCAAATACAAAAACAAGAAAAAAAACAAACTGAAACCAAAGAATAAATGATGGAATTTAATTTATCTTCACAAAATTACACGCACATACACAAATATATTTCACGTGAAACTTATTAAATTCATCGAACATCCTGTCTACATACACGATATATTGAAAGAAAAAAATGCAACAACATAATATTATACATCTAAATAAAATAAGAAGGATTCTAGAAATTGAATGAAATCTCATCTCAAATTTATTTCTCAAGAAATGAAAATATATAGGAATCAATGGATTGTTTTGAGTAAAGTACGCTCAAAAATAATCTTAAAATTTTGTTCTTTTATACTTCTATTCGCATATAGCCTACATGTTGAGTTACAACCCATTTACTATAGGGAGTATACACAATATATATATGTACATGTATATATATACAAAACGAAAAATATTTTTTAACTTGAGATTTATATATTCGAAAACCCTACTGGAATATTATTTGATTGACAGGAGGTGGATACATTAAAGCAGAACTAAAGGGAGGATTTATGTATTCGCATTATTTTAATAAATGCTTATATACATATATACATACACAAAATTTTCTAAAAATACATTGTATATATAGTATTGTTACATATATGTACGTACAATTGAGCAAACAATTCACCACATCTTTAATATTTATTATTAAAGAATTTTTCTATAGAATGTCATATGTTCTAAGTTAAGATTTTCCCTAAGGAAAAAAAAACAAAAGAATGTGAAATTCGTTTCACATACACGAGAATTCACCAGACGAACACCTCCTTTTTTTTCCTTATACCTACATACAGTATATTTTGATCCGGTATCTTCTTATCCATTTATAGATATTTTAAAAAAGGAAATAAGATTTGATTTGAATGAAATGTGGTAAAAAAAAATATACAATAAGAAAAAACAAGAAGTAAAAACGTTTCAGTCAGTATAAACCGATTGAATTATACCCTGCACTTTTCATTTTTGTATAGAAATTACTCGAGCCTGTGAAACAATTCTATAGAAACTTCAGAAATGTCTGACTTGTAATTGGACACACGACTGCCATGTTTCATGAATTCATTTATTATTTTTCCGAATATAAAAAATTTGCTTTTGGAGTTGTATGGCAGCCACACGAACCTGTGAAGCTATCCCATTAAAATTTTTAGAAAATTTGTAGAATATAATTGGACACTTGTATATAAAATTTTATATTGATACTTTTACGAGTATTAATTTTTGAAATATTTAAAATAAACTCTTTGAGTTGTATGGCAGCTACCCGAACCCGTTGTCCGAATTACAATAGGGTTCATCCTTGGCACAAAAAGAAAACTTGTGAAAGTATGGTGTCGATTGCATTATTCGTTTTTGAGTTATCATGCGATCGGACGGACGGACGGGCGGACATGTCTAAATCGACGTAGAATTTGACGCTGAGCAAGAATATATATATATATGTCCATACCGGAGACCACTAATTCATGTAGTTACAAACTCCATACCAAAGTTAATATACCCTTCACGAAGTGCAGGGTATAAAAAGGCTCAACATTAACGTTTTCATATTAAATGAACAATTTTTAAAGGCAAAGTAATCGCAATTCTCATTTCTCAAACAAATCGAAAGGAAAAATGCATTGCTATACGCTTTGATTTTAAGAAAAATTGTTCAATAATAAGTATAAATCGATATTCCTGCATGTACTCCTGAATATTCTTATAAGCATATGTTCGGGTTCATGTGTATGCATTGCAATTTCTGCCCTTGAAATAACAAAATTTTCTTTTGGTTTTTTATTCTTAAGGCAAAATATTTGAATAGTTTTTATTTTGTTTTAGAAAAAGCTAAAAGAAGTTTTAAGAATTAAGAAATCTTAGTCAATTTATGGTAAATTTATAGATTTTTACAACTGAGGCAACAATGTACACAATAAAACACGAACTTCTTGACGAAAAAGTTTAGATATCCTTTAGAATACCCGTACCGTGTGAACGTACAATTTCAAACAAGAATCAATCCACAAACCAAATAACTTAAATTCTGAAGAATTAATTATATAAATGTTTAACTCGGATTTCACTAAGCCATTAACCATATATTTAGTTTTACTTGCGTTAAAAATGAGCTTTTGAATTAATTTATTCAGAATTAATTTTATTTTGTAATTGTTCTAATTGCTTCGAAAACCATGCATGTCTTTACAGTGTACAAACAAATATCAACAATATCACTTATATTTTGAATACCATCCATACAAAAGCTAAAAAGTGAAGAACATAGTATACTACCTTGACGAGTTAAGACCTACATTTTTGCTGTCAATATTTGTGTAAATTGTGCTCTATTTTCTAAATATGATTGAACAAATTTATAATGCGTGCCTTTTGACTCCAAATGCATATAATTTCCTTATCAATATAGCTTTCCATATAGGTCTATGAATACTAGCCTTCAGGTATCCTTTAAACTTTGAACGTTATTTATAACGTCCATTATCGAAACTTCAATGCATGATTTCAATGCATGATTTCTAAATTGATTGTGTACTATTTTTCTCAAAATTTTGGATACAACTGCACTTATGAAAATCGGCCATTTCACATTTAAATATTGGTACAATTTTTCCTTAGCCTTAGTGTTGTTTAGGACTACACCTTCGATTAATGATTTAATAATTGCTAATGTTCTCTTAAACTCGTTATTTCTCTCTTTTGCTTCTCTTTTTTTTTGTTCGAAAAATGCAGTTTTTTGAGTGAAAGGTTGAGTTCAAGTTTGCAGATCTTATGAAGTTCTACAAATGCAGTGCGTTTTTGTATTTATACTGCAAAAAGTAGCGCGTTTTTGCTTGTAGAACTTGAAAAGAACTTCAGCAGCATTTGCAGCATTAAATTTGTGCTGTCATTAATAAGAAAAAAATATAACCTTCAATTTTAATAGTATGAAATAAGACCGCTTAAATTTTTAATTTCTTTAAAAAAATTTAACTTTGTTCAAAAATTTTCAATAAATTTCAATAGTTTCTTCTAAAACAAAATTCAATAGTTTCTTCTAAAACTTGCAAATTTTCAAAATTGTATAATGTTTAAAACACTCGCGACTAGTGAGGACATGTAAGTACATATCTACATTATCAAAATTAAATTTTTCAATAAATTTGAAATGGTTTTCTTATTATGTAGATTTGAGGATGAAGAAAATAGCATAAAAAGATGGTACAGGGCAGAAACCAAACTCCTCACAACTGAAAGACTGAAATTAGAAAACGACTTCTGCTCGGGGCGAAGAAAGAGAAGTGAGATGTGGGGAGTAGTTTTAAACAACATTCTTGAAGTACATCCAGAGTTTCCTTATTCCAGAGAGCAAATAGCCAAAAAATTTGCTAATTTTCTAGCAACATTTAATAGAATAAAAAATAAAATAAAAAAACTGGTCAAAGTGCAACAATCTGGATATTTTATGAATTATTTGATGAAGTATATGGCACTTCATTTACCATCGTTTTGTTTTAAACAAAAATAAATTAATAATGTTAACATACCAACACCAAGGTTTAAAACTAAAATGACAAAATAAAATTAACATGTCAAAAACAGATGGTTGCAGTGGGACGTTTTTATTTTCAGAACTTTTTTTTTCAGTTTTTGAATTTTCTTTTGCAGAATAGCGCTGAAAACATAAGAACTACTTTTTAAGATCTGCAAACTTGATCTCAACCAAAGGCTTGAGCTCGCTTTGAGTATTGAGTTAAGAAGACTTCAATTAGTTTTCGCACATACAATTCATCAATTCTATAATATTGTATTCAACTATTTTTTATTTTTAACTTAAAAGTATTTAAAAAAAATGTATGCACTAAATGCAGGTACGTTGCGGGTAAAGTCTAAACCACACAAGTTGCTGATACGAGTATAAAGAGAAAGAGTTGGCATTTTACTTTCATGTTTTAAAATGTTTAATAAAATAGAATGATTAAAGTTTTCTAATTTTTATATAAAATTTAAATTTCAAACTTTTTAAAGCTGAATTTAATGAAAATCAAAATTTTACATTTCACATTCGTATAGAAGACAAAACCCACAGGATAATTTTCCATTTGAAATCCTTATCAATATTTTTTGTTCTTGGTTTTTATTATTTTTGATTTCTCTATTGTTTTGTTTGTTTTTCTTCTACATTTTATTTGCCTTTTTTTTTTTTTTG